TGAGTCTGTTTCTGTTTTGTTCTTGTGCTTTGTTCTTTAGATTCCACATATAAATGAAAGAATACAGCATTTGTCTTTCTCTGTCTGACTTATTTCACTTAGCATAGTACCTTCTAGGTCTATCCATGCTGTTATAAATGGTAAGATTTCATTCTTTTTCAACGGCTGGGTAATATTCCATTGTGTATCTGACCACTGCTTTTTTATCCATTCATTTATTGATAGGCACTTGGGTTGCTTCCACATCTTGGCTATTGTAGGTAACGCTGCAATGAACATAGGGGCGCATATATTTTTTCAAATTAGTGTTTGGGGTTCCTTTATACCTAGAAGTGGAATTGCTGGGTCATAAGGCCGTTCCATTTTAAATTTTTTGAGGAACCTCCATACTGTTTTCCACAGTGGCTGCACCAGTCTGTGTTCCCACCAGCGGTGCACAAGGGCTCCATTTCACAACATTGTTGTCAACACTTGTTGTTTGTTGATTTATTGATGGCAGCCATTCTGGCAGGTATGAGATGATATCTTATTGTGGTTTTAATTTTTATTTCTCTTTTGATTAGTGACGTTGAACATCTTTCCATATATCTAGTGGCCATCTGTATGTCATCTTTGGAAGAGTGTCTGTTCAGGTCCTTTGTCCATTTTTTAATTGGACTGTTTGTGTGGGGGGGGCTGGAGGGGCTTAAGTTGTACGAGTTCTTTATAAATTGTGGCTATTAACTCCTTATCAGAAGTATCATTGGTGAATATCTTCCAATCACTAGGCTGTCTTTTTATTTTGTTGATGGTTTTCTTTACTGTGCAAAATATTATTTAGTTTGATGTAGTCTGCTTGTTTATTTTCTCTTTTATTTCTCTTGCCTAAGGAGATATGTCAGAAAATATATATATATTGCTAAGAGAAGTGTCAGAGAGTTTACTGCCTATGTTTTCTTTTAGTTTTATGGTTTCAAGTCTTTTTTCCATTTGGAGTTTATTCTCGCGTATGGTGTCAGATAATGGTATGGTATCCATTTTTTTGCATATGCCTGTCCCATTTTCCCAGCACTATTTATTGAATAGATTGTCTTGACCCCATTGTATGTTCTTGCCTCCTTTATCTTATATTAATCGACCATATAGGTGTGGGTTTATTTCTGGTCTCTCTATTCTGTTTTGTTTACCTATGTGCCTCTTTTGTGCCACTACCATGCTGTTTTGATTTCTATGGCCTTGTGGTATATTTTGATATCAGGTAGTGTGCTTCCTCCAACTTTGTTCTTTCTTCTCAAGATTGCTGTGGCTCTTCGGGACCTTTGGTGGTCCCATCTACATTTTTGGATTATTTGTTCTGGTTCTGTAAAAAATGCCATTGGTATTTTGATAGGGGTTACATTGAATCTATAGATTACCTTGGGTAGTACGGACATTTTAAAGACATTAATTCTCCCTATTCTTGAGCACAGTATGTGTTTCCATTTATTTATATCTTCTTCATTTTCTTTCCTCAGTGTCTTATAATTTTCCAAGTACAGACCTTTTACTTCCTTGGTTAAATTTATTCCTAGGTATTTTATTTATTTTTGATGCAACTGTAAATGATTTTTTTTTTTTTAGTTTTCATTTCTTTTTTTTTTTTTTAATATATCTTTATTGATTTTAGAGAGAGGAAGGGAGAGGGAGAGAGAGAGATAGAAACATCAATGATGAGAGAGTCATTGATTGAGCCCACAATCCGGGCATGTGCCCTGACCGGGAATCGAACCCCGATCGCCTGGATCCTAGGTCAGTGCGCAACCGCTGAGCCACGCCCAGCTGGACTAGTTTTCGTTTCTGATGGTTCATTATTGGTGTATAAAAATGTCAGTGATTTCTCCCTGAATATTTGTTTTGTATCCTGCTACTTTACTGAATTCATTCATCAGTTCTAGTAGGTTTTTTTGGTGCAATCTTTAGGATTCTTTATATAAAATATCTTGTCATCTGCAAATAATGACAGTTTTACTTTTTCCTTTCCAATTTGGGTGCCTTTTGTTTCTTCTTCTTGTGTGATTGCTGTGGCTGGATCTTCTAATACTGCGTTGAATAAGAATAGTGGAAGTGGACATCCCTGTCTTATTCCTGATCTTAAGGAAAATGTTTTTAGTTTTTACCTATTAAGTATGATTTTAGCTGTGGTTTTGCCATATATGGCCTTTATTATGTTGAGTAAGTTCCCTTTATTCCCACTTTGCTGAGAGTTTTTACCATAAATAGATGCTGGATTTTATCAAATGCTTCTTTTCTTTATCTATTGATATGATTATGTAATTTTTATTTTTCATTTTGCTTATGTGGTGTATCACATTCCTTGATTTACAGATATTGAACCAACCTTGTATTTCAGGAATAAATCCCATTTGATTATGGTGTATGATCTTTTTAATGTATTGCTGAATTCGGTCTGCTAATATTTTATTGAGGATTTTAACATCTATGTTCATCAGGGCTATTGGCCTATAATTGTCTTTCTTTGTAGTGTCTTTATTTAGATTTGGAATCAGGATACTGCTGGCCTCATAAAATGAATTTGGGAGTCTTTCCTCCTTTTGAGTTTTTTGGAATAGTTTGAGAAGGATAGGTGTTAATTCTTCTTTGAGTGTTTGGTAAAATTTACCTGTGAAGTCATCTGTCCAGGACTTTTGTTTGTTGGGAGTTTTTTGATTACTGCTTCAATTTTGTTGGTTGTAATCCATCTGTTCAGATTTTCTGTTTCGTCTTGATTCAGTCTTGGAAGGTTGTATGTTTCTAGGAATTTATCCATTTCTTACAGATTGTCCAATTTGTTGGCATATAATTGTTAGTAGTATTTCCCTATAATCTTTTGTATTTCTGTGGTGTCATTGTCACTTCTGTTCCATTTCTGATTTTAGTTATTTGGTCTCTCTTTTTTTCTTGACAACTCTGGCTAAAGGTTTATCAATCTTGTTTATCTTTTCAAGGAACCAACTCTTGGTTTCATTGATCTTTTGTACTGTTTTTTAGACTCTATTTCAACAGGTCCTCTTCTTAAAAAATACCTTTGTGCATTATATTGAAATAGAAATAGATCAGATCACACATGTGATAATATTGGTACATGTTGCAGAAATTCTAGGCTATATGATAATTCAAATGTTTTAAAATTTGTCATTTTTAGATTATATCTACTATAGATTTATGCACCTCTACATATTCAATCTTTCTAAATTATATAAATAATCCTCAAAAATTCATATAATTCTTAAAAACAGTCATCATATACCTATCACCTTCCAGTACAGACACAAACCAGAACAATACTGTAGGATTTCAATATTTGAAGTTCAAAGACCAGACAAAACCCATCCTTGGCATCTAAGTAGGACACTGGTCACTCTTGGCAGAAGTGACTAGGAAGGAGGTTGAGGGAACTTAGACTGGGACATGTTGTAGGGGGTTGGCGATACTGTGTTTCTTGTCTCAGCTGCTGGTCACATGGCATGTCCAATTTGTGAAAATTAATTGAGCTGTAGACTTAGGATTTGTACACGTCAATGTATGTTATACTGCTATCAGGAAAAATGAGAAAAACGAGGAATTATGAGTTTTTAACATTCTTGAATGCTTCGAATGTTCCAAGCACTGTGAACAAGTCAGGTGAGATCCCTGTGTTAAAATGCAGAGCACCAAGCCTAGCACAGAAAAGCACCTAATAAGCATGAACTGGTATAATTCCCTTTAGAGAGGGGGAAACCAAATGGTGCAGGCAGACTGAAAGGCAGCCGAGAATGGACAGAAGGACACCTATAGGTGGGGAACCGTGGGAAATGGGGCTGCAGGGTGAAGCAGGGGCAGATCAAGTGGGACCGTGTGAAGAACCCAAGTGAAAGGAATAGAAATGTCTCCTAAAAGCCACAGAACTCCAGCAGAAAGTTTTAACAGGAAAATGCATGGCCAGACAGGTCAGCTGCCTTTCTAACCTTCCTACAGTTCGGCCTCAGTTCTCCAGAGTTCCAGCTTCCAGCCCGAAAGCACCCCTGCATGCATCTCATGCAAGCCCGATGGCAGTGGGGTTCTATCTGGTTCCATTGGGAGGAGCAGGAAGTGCTCCCCAGCCCACCCCCTGGAGGGCCCAGCACTGAGCCTCTTCCATACATTTCATCACTGTGTCCCAGGGCTGAGAAAATCTCGACTTCTGGCACCCTCAGAGTCGGGTGTTGGATTTATGTGTCCAGGTGCTAAAAGCTCGCTCCCAGGTGCTTCCCACTCTTGCAGCCCCACCTTTGCTTGTTAGGTCTGGAAGGGACCTCAGAGAGTCCTGCCTCTCACTGTGTATCAGACAGGTCCCCCAACCACAGAGCAAGGGAGTAGGAAAGTGGGGGCCAGGCCCTGGCTCTCAGTGCCCCGAGTCTCTCCCATCTCTGTCCAGTTACAGCTGGAGAATTTATATTGTACAGAGAAGGGGTTTAGGGAACAGTTTAGCTGGGGGCAGGGGGAGCCTGAAGCTGCTTTTGCATATAGTAGTTTTATTTGAAATTGAGGAAACTTCAGCATCTACACCAAAGAATGAGGTACTGATGGACAAAGGGTGGGGGACACTAAATCCCTCTCACTGCACTGTCCCTCCCCCCCCCAAGGCAGACAGAATCCCCTTCATTTCTAAAGGGCCCCAGGTCTGCACTGGGCTACAGAACATGCAAAACCTTTGTCCCCATGTAAATATTTAATGGGCCCAAGGAGCCAGGGCTAGAGAGTGAAGCAGGAGGTAAGGAGGGGCCTGGAAAGGATGGATTGTGAAGTGGCCCAGGTGCTCCCTTTCCGTCCCTCAGCGTCACCGTAATCACCAGAGTGCCTGCCGCTTTCTTTTTGAAGTTGAGTCCAGTGCCCCCTTCAGCCGGGGGGCTGGGGGCCCAGAAGCATTTCCTGCCTCGGCGGTGACAGTGGCAGAGGCGGGAGGAGAGGGGAAGGGAGGGCTGACTCCCAGCCAGAGGCCTGATGCTGTCCTCCGTCCGTTCCAGGGGAGGTTCAGGCGCAAGAACAGGATGAAAGCTGCGCCGCTGCCGAGGTGTTGACAGCACCCGAGGACGCTGGGAGGCCTGCTGTCAGCTCCGCCGCAAACCAGAGCCGCGGGGGCCAGCGCGAGCACTTTCACCCTGCCCTGCCCCGGCTGCCTTCCGAGGGAGGAGAAGCCAACGGGCTCCGGAGGGAAACGGTGACACTGATGGAGGAACAGGCCGCTGCGGAGCCGGGCGGGGTCGGCGGCGACAGTCCCCTGGAGGGCCTGAGGGACGGCAGGGGGCCGGGCCTGGCCTCCGGGGGGCCGCTTCCCAGATGCTGCCAGGACTCCTCTGAGTCCAGCCAGCCCGCACCCGAAGCTGCCACCCTGGAAGATGGCAAGGAGCCTCCAGAGGCCGGAGGCCCAAGGAGCACCATGAAAACATGAAGGGGAGAGGGACCTGGCACGGTGACACGTCGAAGGCACTGGGGACGGTAAAGAGTTCGTCGTCAGAACAGCTCTCCGAAGTCGCTTTCTCCTAAAACACCTCCAAGTCTGCAAGTGAGAAAAGACACGGGTCCTGTCGCACACTGTGACTACTCTGATGCCAGCACAGTTTGATTTATTAAATGCGGGGCCTCAGGCTTCTAAGTGTCATCTCTTTCTGCCGAAGACGCACCGCTGTGAACATGGCCAGGCACGGAATCGCGTCCGCCATATGGCTGGGTTTTGGCATCCGTCTTTCTGTCAGCATTTGTTTTATTAGAGATAAGACTTTTTTTTTATTAGCGTTTAATGTTGCCAATCAAAATTATGGAAAGAGCTTGAAACCAATGGGGTTTTTAATCAGATCTGCGTCTTTGCAACAGTTAGGCAGCTGGAGACCAGGGTGTAATTGAGCATAATGGGTCCAGAGGGCCCGCCTGTCCACTTCCTCGTGTCAGGTCCCGGCAGGACCCCCCTCATGGGTGTTCTTGGCATCCTGCCTGCGGCACTGTCTGTCCTGGCACCGGCTGGCAGGTGGAAAGGGGCTTAGGCAGGCTCAGAATGTGGGGCTTCTGGTCTGAAATCCACAGCCCCTGTGGAGACCTGTTTGCTGACGGCTGGAGCCGAGTGTTCCAGCCTGTAATTCTGCAGGATTAATCGACTGGACTGATGGGGGTTGGGGGGTGAGAAAGGAGGGTGGGGACTCCAGGGGTGTTTTGATTTTTTGTTTTTGAAATAAGATGAAGGCCAGAACCTGGAAATGCTGCCTCTCTCATTCGGCCTGTGCTGCATATAGGGTTTTACGGCCATGTGGGATTGGAGCAAGATACAGCTGCTTAGGCCCATTCAGTGTCCCTCCCCACCTGAAACCTCAAACCCTTCACTCCAACAAAATGTGAAGGCTGTCTCCTCTGTGCCCCCAGGTACAAGGATTTTAGAGACGACACAGAGCTCATAGGGTGGATAGAGAGAAGAAAACAAAATAACTTTATTCCAGCCTGGTGAGGGGGACTGTGGAACCATACATTAGCTCCAAGTGTGGGAAAGGAGGGAGTGGTCACCCCCACCTGGTTCTTTCCTTGGGGATAAAATGAGCTTTTCTCGGCAGCATCTGGCACTGCAGAAAACTGAAGGCTCATCGAACGATAGAACATTCTTTGAGCTGAACTCAATTTCTTTCCCCAGGAAGACCTGATATCAGTTCCCAAAGCTCAAAACACTCTGAGAACCAGAATCACTCCTTTGAGAGGCTCCTGCAGGAAAAAGGGAGGCTCCCAAGGTGGGAAAGCTGGAAAACCCATCCTAAAAACCAGATGTTTACACCAGGATTGTGGTCCAGGTGTGAAACCTGCACATGCGTGGCCAGCCCACCCTAACGCTTCCGGGCCACATTTCATCTCCTGGGCTGCTCTGCTAGCAGAGCAGGAGCCTGCAGGGATTTGTGCTGTCTCACTCTGAAGGGGCAAAGTGCAGACGAGAAGGTCCAGTCCTTTGCCTTGTGCACAGCGGGGGAAACCTCCAGCTGCTTTCTTTCTACTCACTGCAGGTCCCCCCACCCCCGCTGGGGGAATGGGGCCATGCTGGAGTCAGTGCACTGTTGTTCCTGGTGAGCTGGGCATACCCGCCCCCAGCTGCTCCAGCCTCTCCCCCTCCCCAGGCCCCCCTAACTTCCCCTCCAGGGAGGCCGCTTCTGCAGCTGCAGAGCCTGCACAGCCCAGCAGCCACAGAAATCATCTTCCTGCTGCACTAGGCCTTAATCGTCTGCAAATGTTCAGCATTACTGCATAGGACGCCAGTCACCGAAGGAAAACACAGCCAGATTTAATACAATAATAACAAGAGGAAAAATGTCTCCCTGCAGAAGCTCTGGTTTTGACACACAGTCCGCCAGGTGCACGTCTTTAGGGCCTGTTCATCACTTTCTGGAAATCAGGCTTATGATAAACCCCAACACATCTCATCATGGGCAGGGAAACTGCCATGAGCACCAGGGAGTCTGGGGTTCAGGGCAGGGAGGTCACAGAGAGCGACAACCTAAACCCTATGTGTGCAATCGGCCTAGAAAGGCTTTGTGTTATTGAGATGACATTGTGGCGTTGGAGCCAATGAGTTGATCCTGTTGTATGTGTAACCCTGACAACACCCTATATACATGTGATATTGTCCCACCTCTGCTGTCCCCACCCAACATGATTCTTTTGTCCCACGGGCATTAAAGAGAGTTTCAGCGATTACTTATGGTTGTCTTTTGTCTTTTTAAGAGTCACTGGGAAAGGCTGCCGCGTTCTCTCCCCTATTCCACCAGATAACCTTGCATCAGTCGGTATCCTCAGCTATAATTCACACTTTTTGTTTAAGAAACTTGAACAATAGAAAAATGAACTCTATTCCATAATAAGGACTTCAGAAGTAGGGCATTCGGGGTTTGGCTTATTCAAGAAAGTCATCAAGGATCTGGGTTCCTATCTTCTTGCTCTGCCGCCTTGGTGTCAGCTACTTCCTCAGGCTAACAAGAAGGCTGCAACAGCGCCAGGCGTCACCTCTTCTCACATCTGTGTTCAAAGGCAAAGGGAAGTGTCTCCTTCTTTGTGTGTGTGTGTGTGTAAGAGCAAAACACCCAGTTCTTGTCACATTTCGTTGGAAAGAATTGTCACACGCCTCTGTCTAAACCAGTCCCTGACTAGAGAGAGAGAATTAGTCATGGGCTTAGGTTCATCAGGATCACTCTCTGAATTGGGGAGGGGCCTTGTCCCTGAACATGCAGACTCTAAAAGGGTAAACACAAAACAAAATCAGGTCTTGAGAAATAGAGGAGCGCTGAGAATAGATTTGAGGAGGTCACCAACAGCATTGTCACTGAACCCCACGAGTCCGGTTTGGTTTCGTTTAACCCTTAAAAAGCCAGACTATTACGTTACTGATGAGGGTTGAGTTTGGGGAGGGGTGGTGGCGGTGGTTTTGTTAGTAAGAAAAATGCCATCTCCCCTCTCCTCTCTCCTGGCTTCTTTATCATCCGTCCTGTTTTGCAGCTGGAACGCTCCCACCTTTGTTTACCTCTTCAAGTGTGTCTGTCCTTCCATTATTTTTCCAGCCTGGTTGCCAGCAGAATGCAGAGCAGTCTGGATAAATGAAATGGAGCTGACAGGTCTCTTAATGAAAGCTTGTTTGCACACACCGCATTGTTTGTGATCTCCCTGTACCTGAGAGCCTGTGGGTGAGGATTTTTACATATGACTGTTAGTCGTTCTTTTAATTAAGGCCCGTGGAAATGGATTGGATTTTGTAAACCAGGCATTTCTCATCCCTAACTCCTTCCCTCCCCACACCGCCTCTGTCCCCCCCTTTCTTCGCCTCACAGGGCCATTCCCCAGGTCTCCCTAGCTGGGAGGCTCCCGGTGGCACTCCGCTCAGCCCCTGCAGGAGCCTCCTCCCAGCTGGCACTCTTAAATAAGCTAAATTAGTTTTCCCATCATTGCTCCTTTGCTGTGCCCTCCCTCCCAAACACACACCACCATCACAATGCGAAGTTCTGAAAAGGGGGTGCCGGTGCTGGTTGGGCCCATTTTGGAGCACATTTTCGGATGTGTTCTTCCAACCGGAGCACTGCACCCCGATTCACGGGGCATAAAAGGTTCAATCTCCTCTTTAAGGGGTTTCAAAGACCCACTGCTTGCTCCACGGGGTTATCTTGACTGTCTCTTTAAAATTACAGCATGCTTTTGCTCCTCTTGGGTTTCTGCTCCTCCAAAAACTGGTGCTTTCTCCTGGCTCGGCCGCTTTCCTGCAGCCCGGGGCTGGCTGAGTGCCTGCCTCTCTTTGACAGAGTTCTCTACTTGAGCCCCTTCTCCCTCTGCTTTCATTCGGGAAGGCTCCATGTGGAACAGTCTCCCCCCTTAATAATACCGAGGGAACCTTAGGATGTCAGAAAGGCAGAGGAGTCCCCTTAACTCACCGCTTTAATATATTCCCTTTTTCCAGGTGTCTTTCTAAACAGAGAAAAATGTGAAGATCAGAGAGATGCCATAGAGAGCTCAGTAGTGAATCTAAATAGAAACGAGAAGCCGAAAAAATAAGAAGGACCCATCTCTCGATATTATGATTGCTCACAAAAACAAAACAAAACGTGTTGATATAGCATGAAGGCAATTTAAGATGATAGATACGGACGCGCTGCCTTCCATTTCATATCACCTCTTTGCTAAATGGGAATGGTTTTGAATGCATAGTGAATGTCTGCGTAATACCGACAAGTTTGACTTTCCGGAACCTATGTGAGCCCAGGAATATACATATTTTGAGACGTTAGCCGAGGCCAGTGATAGCCTATTAAATTCAAAACAATTGGCTTAAAAAAGAAAGAACGAAAAAAAAGCCCTGGCTGGTTTTGCTCAGTGGTTAGAGCATCAGCCCTCGGACCGAAGGGTCTCGGGTTCAATTCCTGGTCAAGGGCGCGTATCTCAGCTGTGGTTCGATCCGCCCTCCTGGTCAGGGATCGTGTGGGGGGCAACCAATTGATGTGTGTCTCACGTCGATGTTTCTCTCTCTCTCTCTTTCCCCCTCCTTCCTTCCTTCCTTCCTTCCTTCCTTCCTTCCTTCCTTCCTTCCTTCCTTCCTTCCTTCCTTCCTTCTTCCTCTCTCTCTCTAAAAATCAATGACAAAAATATCTTTGGGAGAGGATTTAAAAAAGGCAAAACAGCTGCTATTTTGTAGTTTAATTTAAAGAAAGAAGTAACTTCTATTCATTTACAGACCTTGCTTTATTGGATTCTGTGATCATCATGTATCATGACTGTATCGTTTTTGTTACCTGAAATAAAACTGTGGTAATTTTCCCGATATAGATGATTAATTATCTTTATTATTTAGGTCATTCTCTCTTTCCACCCTAGCTGCAGGCCAATCATAGACTGAACGTTTCTTCATATTGTAGCAACTTATCAGTTACAATCTGTCACCTAAAATTATTAGCTCGTATGCTCGTCATGAAAATTATGGAGAATGTAAAGATTTTACACATTCAGTCAAAAATGCCAGATCTAAAATCAGTTGGTTTATTTCCTGCAATCTTTCAAGTTGACCAAAGCACTCACTGATTTGCTCTATTTTCTTACAGTTTTAGTATTTCCGTATATATATGCACTGAAAAGCCCAACTCAGAAAAATCTGCAATTCTGAGAAAAAGCTTATCCTAAACATCTAAAGATAGCATTTCTAATTATTGTCTACATTGTGTTTAAACTGTGCGAACTTGAGCATTATTCTCACTTTACCAGCTGTGTCTAGGTAGAGTCATTACATCAAATGCTTCTAATTTTACAAAAAGAAATCAAAACAAGTGTGTGTTTAAGTCTCGGTGACAAATGCAAACCCTGTGAGTCAAATAGGCAAGCTGATTAGCAAGCTGGCTGGGAAGTCAAAACAGCAAATGTAAAGAGATTAACAAAACAGATCTGTAAGAGGAGAGGGGTGAAAATAGCCTCCAGGGGCCAAGTGGGGTCCAGAGGGTGTGTTTAGTGGCGCACGCCCGTTTCTGTGCCAAGAAGCAGACACCTGCCTTTATGGCCCACTATCTTCCCCTCATCTTAGGTCCCCTCCCCACAAGTGCTGGGATCACCGAGTTTCTCTCAGGCAACCTAACAGCTGCAGAAACCTTCTTACAAACCTAAGGGGTGGCAAACTGTCCTTTACTGGAAT